TGCAGTGAACCAAGTCTCCAGTGTGATAGATTCTGCCATATAAACACTGAGAAGATGATCATTACAATGAACACAGTGAATATGCCCACCTCACTCAAATGTTTCCTTCGATATGTGCATGCAAATTCATAGCCATTCTTTCTAATATTCACAGTGTTCATTTACTATATACTTTTTTGTATTTCATATGTGTTAGTATTAGTTAGGATAATATTTCCAACAATCTTACAAATTAAGAGATATTATTACTTCCACTCCTTTAGAGCTATGGGTGACATTAGTAGGGGCCACCAGTCTCAAGAAACACTCCATGCTCTAAGTGGTAGAGCTCATTTAAATCTATCAGGTACCACACTCTAAACCACTTAATGACTTTGCTTCCTTGGTTGTCCCACTACATGGATGTCACAAAGGTTACTTAAAGGCAGAATCCCAATGCACATAATTTTGGACTTTATGTAATTTTTATTATTTAAAATAGAACTTTATACCTGTATTATCCTACATAAATAATGATATATGTGTGTGAAATGTCACATTTTTGTATACTAACTAAAATTTTTTAATAAAATAAAATGACAATAAGCAAGTTCATAGTATGTTTTTGGGCACAGTCGTGTTTAGTTTCTTGAAGAACCATTATTTGGACTGAAGAGATGGCTTGGTCAATATAATGCTTGTCACTCAAGCAGAAGCCCCAAGTTTATATTCCCAGTGCTCACATCAAAGCTTGGCATAGCAGTGTGTCCTTGGAATCCCAGAACTAGGGAGGCAAAGAAACTGGAGGTTCCTGTGACTTGCTGGCCAGCCAGTTGAGTCAAATGGGAAAGTTCCACTTTCAGTGAGAGACCCTGCCTCAAAGCATAAAGTGGAGAGCTACTGAGTAAAACACCCAACATTGACCTTTTGTTTCCACAGGAAAACCAGACAAGTGCATGTGCCCTTGCATACACACATGCATTTACACAAAATCATTTTATGATGTGTTATTTATTATATGTTGACTCCTCATGCAATGTTCTAAGTTGTTCTCCAGATAGATCATAGAAATTCACATTCTCAATACTGACACTTTAATTATTATTCTTTTGAACCTCAATTATACAATGTAAAAATGGGTGCACTGTTTTTAATTTGAATGCTAATGTGGGTAAAAAAATTTTTGATGTGTTTCTGAGACAGTTTTACCTTTTATGAAGTGTTTCTTTGTGTCGTTCAGATTTCTAGTTCAAAGTTTGAAAGTTCCTTTGAAAGGGTTAGAGTTAATTTTATTAAAAGACCCATGAGCTAAGGGAGATGCTGGACATGTTTCATGGAGCATGTTCAGAGAGAATAAAATATTACAGTCAAGAGGAGAAGTAAAGAGATTTTTAAAAACTAGGAAACCTATAAGAACTTTAATATGAATGATAGTTCCATAGGGATTAGCTTTCATTTGTAGACAATGAAGAACAGTAATATAAATGAGTTGATGAAAAGGAAGAATATAAAGAATGGTCCAATGTGCATGTTTCCAGAGGGGAAGCTCTGAAAGGAAATGTGTGACAAGGACAATATAAGCCAAGGGGAAAATGTCAGAACTCCATGACATTGTATGGTACCTGCTGTCCATTGTGGCTAGACAGAGTGGCTTCCCCACCTTCTCATCTCTTCCTAGTGTCTCCTGTTGGGTGAACTTACCCAGAAATCCAAGATCACAAGAGAGTTTGGGAAATGGGCCTTCTGGGGTTCTTGTATCCATAGATCACACAGAGGCAATAACAGATCTGAATATAATTAGACTAAATCTAACAAGAAGAAAGGACCCGAGACAGTGCCCACAGTCAGGACAGGCTCTCCTGGGTGCTGAAAGTCTCCATTCTGGAACTGGTTCAGCTGTTGCTATGCTGAGGCCTCCTCCAGACACTGTAGCGTGATGGCAGATGGCAACTGCCCCTGGGAAGTGGGTCCAGATACCCACTTCCAAAGATTACAGTAAATGGCAGCTAATGATAATTACAATCAGTAGGACTTCAGTTTCAACACCTGCAAAGAAACCCTAGGAATGGAACTTAAATTGCCTTGCTTGTCTCTAGGCAGGCAGAGTTGGTCATCACCCTCAACACTGAGCCTGATCAGTCATGTGTCCCTGTCATCAAATAGCTCGCATAAGGATAAAAGAACTACGATTCAAGGAAAAATGTACCCAAAACCAGGCCTGGGAAGGTAAAATCCTAGTGTAATGATTCAGTGAACTCTATTTTATATCCAGTGTTGTCTTCATACGGTCTCGGAAATTCACTTAGCCATCCACACCTCAGTTTCCTCTTCTGTACGATGGATAAAATAAGGCTGCCACATAAAGTCTCCGTCTAGGTTAAGAGAGCTACTATATGGAGAGGCCTGAGGCGTTCACATGTGGTCCTTGTCCCCAAAAGCAGTGTGTAAGAAAGGTAAGGAAAGGAAACGAAACACAACAGAGTAGCTGAAGAGTCATCTATCTAACCCGGACCATTTAGGCTTTGGTGGTAAAGAGAACCAAAGGTTGCCACCACAGGTGGGGACCACAAGGGGCCGCCGGGAGACGTTAGCGTCATCGCTGCCCCTAGCAACCGTGGTCTATCGCCTTCAGCCGACAGCGCCGGCCTGGCAGCAAGATGGCTCTCCGCCCCTGGACCCCCGATAAGGGGTTTGTCAACGAGGAAGCGAAGCAGCCTGCCTCAGTCTCCACCACCCTCTCCCTGGAGCTATGCACCTTCCCCCGCACCCTGGGCTCCTCCGTAGCGGCCGCCGCATTAGAGCAGCTTCTAGTTGTGGGTGAGAAGTTCTAGAGACGCCAGGAGTCTTGTCCTTGGAGATGGTGGTCTGCTCCGATCTTGGCAGGAGTCCGGGCAGGCATTCTTCTCCTGAAACTACAACCTCCCTGGCCAGGATCTAGCCTTCTATTCGTTGTTGGTCCGAGAGACGGGAAGCAGGGAGGGGCTAAGTGTTCGGCTCACCTGCTCAAGCTCATTTAGGGTGATGGATCACTATAACTTTTGGGCGTCCAGGCCATCGACCCGGACCTGAGTATCTGCTTTCCCACTTCGGCCGTCTCCTCTCACCTTTCTTTCATGGTTTTATCTCCTTCCACCCTTTACCGTGGAAAACTGGAAACTTTAAAAGACAAGTAGGAGAAGGAATGCTTAAGAGGCACCTGTTTGTTTTATTAGGCAAAGCAAGTTAGATAAAAGACAGTGTTTGGGAGACTTGGACCAAAAATTATCTTGTGTGTGTGACCACACTAACATACATGGTATGCTTTGGCTCTGAACCGTCTCGCTCAGGATCGTGATGTGGATGTTTGTGTCCTGGCTAGTGGGGCTGCTTTTAGGAGGCTGTGAAAACTTTAGGAGGTGAGGCTCAGCTGAGAGAAGTCTGTCACTGAGTAGGATGGGAGTGGACTTTGGAGGTCTTTAAGGAGCCCCTGGTGGCTGCTTGCCCTCTGCTTCCTGGGAGCAGCTTTCCGCTCTGCTGCAGTGATCTGCAGTGGATCTGCAGTGCCTCTGCAACACTTTTCCCACCATGATGAACCCTCTAAACCCCGAGGAAAGGAAAAACAAACAAACAAACAAACAAACACCACCAACAACAAATACCCTCCTTGCCTAAGCTGTTTCTGTTAAGCATTTTGGTCATAACTGTTCAAAAGTAACTAATATGATACTGATTCAGTTAGAAAGCTCAATGTGTTAGTCCTCAAAGGCATTTCCGGTTGAGAGCAAAAGCGTTTAGACCATTAAGAGCAAACCATTTCATTGTTTCACTATGAGCATGGTACTGTTTCAAATAAGCTTTTCTGTGATGGGGTTGCAGTTTAGAGAGATTTCTCTTTCATCTTCTTAGAGGACCGAGTTTAATTTCCTGATTCTCATTGGATCAGCAGAGGCAAGTATTCCCAGGAAAAAAAACGTTTAACACTCAGTGGCACAAATAACCCCCGAGTAGCCAAAGGTCATTGTTAGAACTTGGCCCTTGAATTCTCTTCATGCTCATCTCTAGAACAGTGTGTCCATTCAACCTTATTAATTACACATAAATACTTTTCATTTGCTAGTAATGTCTGGAGACTTGGACATTTTTCTACTAGAATATCTCTTATTTATTCCTTGATAATTTTGTGCATGCACATAGTGTCATGATCATACCCATCCCTCAGGCCTCTCTCCCACTCCTCCCAACACCCCCAAACTTGCTCTCCCTATCTTTATTATTTCTCCTCCTCCTCCCACTGAGTTCAATTAGCGACATGTAGAATGTTGCCTGGCCTTGTTGACTCCACCTTGAACAGCTGCAGTGAGCTTGGGAGTGTAGTGGCCATGTCTAGATGATAGCCTGCCACAGCATCCCAGGATCTTTTTCTTAGGAAGAAACTTCATTAACACTTCTTTATCTGGGTATGGGAATCCCAGCACTTGTGAGATGAAGACAGGAAGATCAGAAGGTCAGGGTCATCCTTGGCTGCATAGCAAGTTGGAGACCAGCTGGGCTACAACTAAAATGATCTAAAATAAAATTTATCTAAGATAAAATAAAGATTTCTTGCTCTGAGTTTAGTTAGAAAGTGTATAAGTCTCCAGAATATTCGAGAGCAATAATGGACATGTTCTCACTTACTCCATAAAGCAAAAAAGAAGGAACTCTAGTACACTCTTGCCTCTTTAACATACATCGCTACACAGAGCATAGTTCTGTAGGAGAGCCCTGGAACAGAGGGCAGATGTTACAGTTCAAATGGAAATGGCTACTGTGTTCTCTTCTTAGCACTCCCTACTGACAGAGGTTAAGAGAAAAGGAGACCTCCTTGAGTAAACAAAGGAGATGGGAACACAATGCCACACCTACCAACTGACAAATTCATTCTGCATCTCACACTTTTGTATAGAAGTTCATAACATAAGGGATTCTTTACCTGAAGTGATATGGTGTGTTTCTGGCACAGCATAATATATATCCACTGTGTGTGTGTGTGTGTGTGTGTGTGTGTGTGTGTGTGTAGATATTAAACCTTTTAAACCTACATTACAGACATCTTAGCTCTTATTTGTAAATGCTTATTGATATTTTATCCATTTGAAACCGCTTCTTTCTGTCATAAGACATGTCATATGACAAAGATGAATTTAATGAAATTTTCTTTAAGAATAATAAAACATATATCTAAGTTAGGATACTATGCAATAGGAAGCGTATTCAAAGGAAATTCATAATGTTCAACAGACATTCAGAATAATGTAAGATTCAGCATTGGAACCAGATCATAATGAACCAAGTAGGATTGGAAAAATATCTGTTAAGAGATCTTAATACTCTAATCTTTTGTTTTCCAGAAAAATCTCTGCAAGGTGACTATTTCACTTGCAATGAAGAAATTAAAACCTTCCTTAAGGACATTACTGTGGCTGTTAAAAAATTGGTACTTATTATCATTTTTTTCAGACTTTTGCTTATACTTGCATTAACCCTTAAGTTAGGATCAACTGTGCTCAAGTTGCCTAAATATGTGAACAGAGAAAATATTTACCCTGAGTCAGAAGTATTTTTCTTCAGTTTGCCAACCAATTTCAGTATAGACTGCTGCTCAAATTTTCAAGCAGAAAACTGAGTTATGAGGCCTGTGCCAAAGATGCAGACAAGGCCAGTTAGGAAAGGCCACAGGAGTGCTAGGAAGTCCAGTTAATGGGTGAGCCATGTGGACAATAGACTGAACATAATAAGTAAGCAATGCTTGCAATTAACCAGTCAAAAACATCAATCAGCCAAACAACCTGCTGCTAACAATCACCATCACTGGGCAGGGGTGAGAGGGGTGTGTGTGAGGGGAATCATTTGTACGGTTACAAGTAACTCAGCTACCTGTGGCAATTCCCTTCACAACTGGTAAACGATTTAAGCAGACAACTGTGTCATGAAAATGTCAGAAATTCTTTCCTCATATAGACCTGTCCCTAAAAAAGCCAGATCAAAGAAATGTTCTAAAATTTCCTTCTGGAATGTCACAGACACATCTGTTTGTCATCCTTGGATGATGCTCAAAATTCTTCTCAGCTGAAACAGTAGAGACCTTTATTTGATTTTAAAAACAGTGAATACAAATCTATTATATAACAAATGTCTAAGAAGGTAGAAAGGGCTGTGAAGTGACCTCCAGTCCACAGATAAGCAGCTTATTATTTATATTTTATGTAATTATAAACAGGTGTGTGATTACAACACAGAGCCACACTTCATTTCCCCTCAGGTGGATCCGTCAGAGGTTTGCCACCCAGCATCACTGGCAACCCTCCTAGCTGCTTCTTCCTTTCAGTTCCATTTTTCATAGTATATGTAGAAGTCAGGATTTTCATTGTGGCTAATTAAAGAATTGAGTCCCCATCTGCTTAATACCCAAGCCATGACATCTCTCAAGTAGCAGACATAAATCCCTCCATTTAAAAAATGACCAATACCTATTATAAAAGTAATACATGTTTACCCTAGAAATTTTACAAATAAATAAGCAAAAGTAACAAAAAACAAAAATAAAAATCACCATCAACTTCACTACCTTCAAATATTCACAATTAACTCTTTCAGTTTCATAGTACTGGTGATATCTGCATTGGATTTTATTGTTTGCAGAAACAATACACTAATAGGAAAATGTCCTAAGGAGGCATTTTCTCAACTGAGGTTCCCGCCTTTCAGATAGCTTCAGTTTGTGTCAAATTGGCATAAGACCAGCCAGCACACCACCACTCACCATACCCCTCCCCCCACAACCGACATGACGCTGCGCTTTGGCAGTAGAGGATACGGAGAAATGTGCTAGAGAAGGAAGAATTTCTTTTTTAGGTTCCAATGTTCAGCTTGGCAGGCCTCTCTCCTGTTCATGATACGGTGTACAGTTATGCAATTGGATTTTCAGTTGGGGAAAAAAAGGCAACGCAAGTTTTTCAGGTTACAAAATAGCTATAGTTTTATTTAAAAGATGATTTTTGAATGTTCCTCCCCTTTCAACGCTTTTGTACCTAAAAACTAGCAAACGAATCAACCCTCACAAGACTATTTAGGTTTATAGATATAAGAAAGTGTGGGGCCTGGAAAGATGACTCAGTAGTTAAAAGCACTTGCTGCTCTTGCAGAAGACCCAGGATTGGTTCCCAGCACCCACGTCGAGGTACACAATTCCAGTTCCAGGGGATCTAGTGCTCTCTTTTGATCTCTGCTGGTACCATATATAGACATCATATACATATGTACATGAATACATATATTTTAAAGGAAAAAAAGCATTGTTCTCTGTTCACACATGGGTATTTACAGGGAATTTTAAAATATTTAGTGAGTGACCTTCTTAGTATTGCCCTTCTTGTTGGAATCTTTCCATTTAGATTAATTGAAACTGGATATAGGAAACAGGTACACAGAAGGGAAAAAGTTCTGAGAGAAGGAAAACCAACAGAAAGTAAAAGATAAATCAGCAGTGACTGGTTAAAATCTGAGTATAGGTCATTATCTGTCCCTGCTGTCTGCCACATAAAAACAGCAGCAGGAGAGGTCTGGTGGAAATGACTTTCCAACTCACAAAACAGAGAGACCTTTTCTTAGGAAGGTAAGCTTGTTATTTTGATGCATTACCTTTTCAACAGTGTGATTTTTGTTTTTCAGGAAGAAATGAGAAGAAAGACAATTGAACTTCTAGAAATTGAGAGCATGGAACTGAGCAAACTCTACTTTCTGCTGGAGACTGTGCCCAACAGCATCAGAAAGGAGCTAGAAGGTACTTCTGAGGTCATAAGCGAAGGGGCTTCAGTGTCTGTCACAGGAAAATAGAGCCTCCTCATGCTTTTGAAGCAAGGATTTTATAGTTGTGCTGCCTCTATAAGCATCCACAGACACACTACCTGATGTGAACATTGTGATCCAAAGTGGACCCCATTTTATTTTAAGTGGATTAACATACTATATAGAGGTTTAATTTGTATGATTTTGCTGGTAAATTCACTAAGAGATGGGTCAGCCTTTTTTTGTTTTGTTTTGTTTTTAGAGACGGGGTTTCTCTGTGTCACTTTTGGAGCCTATCCTGGCACTGGCTCTGGAGACCAGGCTGGCCTCGAACTCACAGAGATCTGCCTGCCTCTGCCTCCTGAGTGCTGGGATTAAAGGCGTGCAACACCAACGCCCGGATGGTCAGCCCATTTTTGATCAATAACTACACACATACTTTAGGCATCGTCTTGTCATGATTGGCTTATTCCACTTAATGGCACAATGTCTTCAAGGTTTATTCATATGTGAGCATATGTCAGCATGTCCTTCCTTTTCAAGGCTAATTAACATTCCGTGGTACATACCCACCACATTTTGCTTATGTTTTGTGTGTTTCTTCTGACTTTTGGCTGTTGTGAACAATGATGTTTATGAACCATGTCCAAATGCACAGATGAATTCTTTTGGCTCTATATTAAGAAAAGGAATAACTGGATTTTATGATAATTCTACATGCAGCTACAAGCGAGCCATTATGTGTAAGCATCAGCAAGGCACAAGGCTTCATTTCCTCCACATCCTTGCCAACGCTTGTTATTTATGGTTTTGTTTTAATGAGACCTGTTCTATTCAGCATTAATTAGACACTCATTGTGGTTTTAATTTAAAATTTTCCAATGATTAGTGCCTTTGAGTGTCTTTTCCTGTGTTGGCTGGTTATTACTGTATTTTCAGGAAAGGACTGTCTACCCAGGACCTTTGTCTTTATAGTAACTGTAGTTGTTATCATTGTTATGTTGTGGAGTTTTTATTACTGTCAATATTAACTGAATCTAGCTACATAACTCATCTGCTCTACTTCCCTAATGCTGGGATTAGAGGCATGTGACATCTCACCTGGCATAAAACATCTATTTTAAAGATAGATATGCCAATTATCCACTTACTGACTCTCAGTTCTATTTGACAATAAGAGAACCAAGCCTTATAGATATTTTATTGTTAAAAGTAGTGAGGACAGGAACTCAAGCATGTCAGGAACCTAGAGGCAGGAGCTGATTCAGAGACCATGGAGGGGTGCTGCTTACTGGCTTGCTCCTTGTGATTTGTTCAGCCTGCTTTCTCACAGAAGCCAGGACACTAACCCAGGGATGTCACTACTCACAATCGGTTGGGCTCTCCCCCGTCAATCACTATTAAGAAAATGCCCTACATTTTGGATCTTAGAGGTTCCCCTCTTTCAGATAACTCTAGCTTGCATGAAGCTGATATAAAACTAGCCAACATCCCCGCCCCCTGTGCCCCCACACATGCATGAAGCTGATATAAAACTAGCCAACATCCCCGCCCCCTGTGCCCCCCCCACACCTCTTGTTAACAGAAGAGGAGCCTGAGAAATATGATAGAGAAGGGAGAGGTTTTGTTATAGATTCCTGTGTTTGCCTTGGCATACCCCTCCACTGCATGTGGTATTGGCAAGTCTCAGTCCTACAAATACCAGCAGCTCTCAATGCCCAATGCATCCCCATCAATCAGAACACTTTGGGCAGCTTCATGGTAGTGCCAAAGAGAGACACAACTCTGTAGAGAACTTCCATCAATGTTCCTTGAGCAATTATGCTCCATCTGTGTGAACAAGTCCTGTAGCACTCCAGAGAGATTTCTAGAAAGTTCCAGCAGCCCAGCATTTCTTTGCCATCCCATAGAGCACAGCCCTATAGCGAAGGTTCCCTCTTAGGGATGAAGCTGCCACTTTCTTGTTACTTTAATCCTTTGTTAGTAGCACTTTCTAAGAAACTTTTGTTGTTGAATTTTCTGTGGAGATTTCTACCCTCCAACTGTATCCTAGCTGGTACTGTAGGTTATATAGGAAAGCAATATGCTTAATGTTACATTAGTTGAGAAGGAAAACACAACGGGACATGTACACGGGGCGGGGGAGGGTTGGGGGTGACAGACTTACAGATCTGCATCAAAGGGAGAGTTAGAAAAATATTTCTGGTTTACTTTCTTTGTTTTTCTTTATTTTATAGATTGGGCTAATATTTATATCAACAGAAAAAAATATGTTAGTAGGAAAATTACACATCACCTTAGCTTGTAAGTTTCGTGATGCAGGCTGTACATGCAACTGAGAAAGTTGAACTGGCTCTATACCAGCATCAGATGAAACAAGGGAAGGTTGTTAGAGATCAGAATTCCCAGGCATCCCGCAGACCTCTGTGTGGCAGCAGAGCCTGCAATTCAACGGGATAGAGATGTGAATTTGAGACAAAGTTTGAGATGTTTTTGTTACCACAAACAATTCGACTAGTGACCTAGATAAGAGATATACTGGGGGGTAGGGGGATGGCTAGTAGTCTGAACCTCTAAGAGAGCTATCAGCTAGTTGCTGGGGAAGTTGTTGTGTAGAAGTGTGTTGAACCTTGGTATGTCACAGGCTGAATAACCCTCTAAAGCAGTGGTTCTCAACCTTCCTAATGCTGTGACCCTTTGCTAGAGTTCCTCATGTTGTGGCGACCCCCCCCCCAGCCATAAAATTATTTTCGTTGCTCATTTATAACTCCAATTTTGCTACTGTTATATAAGATATAAATATATTATAAAGTATTATACATAATGTTATATAATAAATACTGAAATGTAAATATTTGCTATGTAGGTTTCATACATTTCAGAAACGCGGTAGGAGTCAGGACCCACAGGGTGAGAACTACTACCTTCCAGGCTTCCATGGTTGTACTGGTTTGGTATTTATTTATGGATAATTAGTTACATAGTAATGAGTTCTCCAGAAAAGAGAGTCTTGAGCTAATGGCTTTTACACCATTATAGTTTTAGGGTGCATAATCCAGAGAGGAGGGTGGGATAAAGGACCAAGGCAGCTGAGAAGGGGGAGCCAACATGGAGTGCATTACAATGTTGGCTGCAGCTACAATTTGTGATGACGACATGCTCCAGCGAAGTTATTTCTCAATAGCATTCGCTGTTGAGAAGGGGGAAATAAGTATGCATGCCCTGAAGTAAAAAGCTTGTAGATTCAAGATACCTTTATTCAGATAAATACCAGCCAAATGCAAGCCAGAGCAGCGAGGCCAGAGAGAGGGGGCAGCAGAAGGGGAAGAGGAGGGGGTTCCACGTACTCGTGGTCGCTTAAGAGCCCATGCCAAGTCATGACAGGCATGGTCAGGCACACCTGTAGCCAGCCCTTAGGAGGCGTGGTTATGGTGTCTCCCTACAATTTCGCTTTTAGTCTAAAAGAGGATTAAAATTTAATAGTGTAAAATATCTAAAATTAACAATCATAAAGGTGAAATACAAGAAGATACAATAATCTATTTTTGCACATCCTAACTATGTCTATTTCAGCTAAACCCTAAAGTCATCTGAAAGGGGGTGTCCAAACTGAACACCTCCTTCCAATCCCAATCCTAAACAATAGGAAAGTCATTCCTAACTAGGCTTAAACTACCCTAATAGACAATAATGGAGTATGGGGGCATAGCATTCTCCAAGTTACTCCCTGCTGAAATGGCACGATGGTATCCTTGTGGAAAGAAAATGTTAGTATAGTGAAAGTCTCTAATGGATAATATCCAGTCCATGTTATATGGGATTTGCTTGATTGAAGATCTACTTTGAAATCCTGAACTTGATTGAAATCACTACTCGAAGGTCTGGTCGGCGTGTCAGTTGAAATGGACTAAGTTGGATCCAGTGCAGTCAAGGAGGTATGGCCCAATTCCTTTTCCAGACCATCCAGGGATTGTTGTTAGGCGGGTCTTCATTGGCTGTGTGGGACTCAAACATAAGTGTTAGCAGAGAAATGTTTGCTTGTATATATATATGTATGCTGGGAAAGGCAATCAAGGAAAAATAATGATTGTGAGATAGTGTACACCCTGAAGGAAAGAGCCAAGAAAGCCAAAGACAGTCCTAAAATTCTTCTATTG